CACACACACACACATATATATATATATATGTATATATATGTATATATATATATATGTATATATAGAGGAATATAGTAACCGAGTACCTCAAAGTCGATCTCGGCTTTGCTCGGACCCTCGATCGCGATTGAGAGTCCGCCAGCTCCAGCTTCGCGCGTGTAAATGTTGAATTCGTTGGTTTTGCCCACATATCCATATTGAAGACCCTGGCCGGTAGCGCGCACCTTGTCGCTACCACCCTCCGTGATGGGGCCCACCGTAAACTGGAAGGGACTTCCTGCAAAGGGAAAGATAAAAAGAGAGTATCAGGCGAGGAAATCGAGTAAGATACAACTCGAAGAAGTAGACTAAGCTCCGACAAGCAGAAGAAGTAAAGCTAATAGGTTCTAGGGCTAACTGACAGTAAGGAATAGTGATATTTCAGCATTAGGTATTCCATAAGAGAAAGCCTGACAAGAGTTGCCCAATAGTGTTAAAACTCGGCGGAACGAAAAGTAAAATCTCATCAGGTCGGCATTAAAGTCTTAGATTTATTTACCCTATTTCGTTTAATGCGATGAAAATACTTGTAGTTGAATTAACTTACGATCATATGAGTTAACCATACGTTTCTATTAAATTTCACAGCCTTGATCTTTCAAGAGGTTTTCACATCTATGTTGAAGTAGACTGCCGTTTTGACCTCGCGTTAACTGGTTTCATCAGCATCTCCAGCCGGACTCAAACCATGATAGCGCATCGTAAAATCTCGACACGTTAACCACTAAGCCATATTGTCACGAGTCTCATTGGGTCACAGGCCAGATATAAATTTCGAGGAGGGCCAGGCATTTTCCCATAGAACATTCTGTGGTCGAAATAATAAGCAATGTGCAACTTTGCTTAATTAGAAATCCCACCACAGAATGTTCTATATATATACTAGTAGCCTCCGAATGCTGTTAATAAACGAAAAAAATAAGTAACGTAGCTAAGTGCTATGAAACATTGCTTTATCAACAATCCCACTGCATTTATTCCATCCTGCTAAAGGTGATGAAGGATTGTAAGTTGAATTTTCCCACAAGCACATGAGTGGGCCTCATGCATCCGTTTAATTTCACATCTTTTTTCTTACCAGAAGGTATATTTATCTATAATGCACTAGACTAGTTTCGATCTCGCCTGAACTGGTTTCATCACTGCTCTCAGACCGACTCAACACGTTACACACTATGCCGCACAGCTAAAGATGCCCTTGGGCTACAGGGCAGAAGAGAATCGCAAGGAATCCTAGGTCTTTTTCATATAAAATTTTGGTTGTGGTTTGTCGACGAAGCAGTTATATTTGCATAGCAATCGACTATATTATTTGTTTCGTTTATAGGCGGGTCTTCGAGACTAGCAGTAGATCTTATATAAGAGCTGTATGAAAACATGAGGCCTACCTATATCATTGTCAGATACTTCAACTAACAGTCCTTAATCACCTCAAACGAAATAGGATAAATACAGACCTTACACCTGATTACAAGTATTAGTACAATAATTCTATAAAAGGAGCAAAATTCTAATACTGGCTAGAAAATTGTTAATTAGTTTCAAAATTTAAAGAAACTGGTAAAACAATCGATTAATGGAGTCACATATTGCTTTTTATAATTTCGCTGGTATATATAGATCTACTCAGCTCAATATCTTTACGATTTCATAGTATCAAGTTTCGTATTGATAAACCAATTTTGTAATTTTGCTTAACGATCTAATAAGTGGGCGAAAATGCTGCTTTATTTGTAAAACATCATAAGATATAAGACTAAGGCAAAAGTAAAACATGACAATACATTTTGGATGCGCATTTATATATTGGTCAGAAGAACTTATTTTTCAGCCTTACTAGGTAAAAGGGCAAAGGAAAAAGTATATTTTTATTTCAAGTTTCCCATCTATTAATTATAACATATTTTCCTCATTATTAATAAGATGTATGTCTGATTTAAACAAAGGTATGCAAATTCATTATAACTAAACATAAGTAGGCTGTAAAACTTTGTAAAAGTCTTTAGACAATTAAATAAACAAATTGTTCAGCAAGGCAGGATTTGGGGAATTGGCCTTTCGTGATGTCAAAATAATTTGGCTACTTTTGGTCTTGTAATTGGAAGTATAAAATGCAGATGGCAGGCCATAAGACAAGTCTTTACCTGCAATGTGCATTGAACGATGTCTGACAGATACCGTATGAGCACCCATCTCGCGAGGAATAAAGCGAATAGAATATTTGCCCGGCGATGTGCAGATTACGTCACAAGGTGAAGTCTGGCCAGAGGGAGAGGTCACGCTGGCCGTCATGTCGAGAAGGCTTGTGCCTAAGTTGGATACGAGAGAGGTATGAAGCGACAGAACAAAAATGTCGTTAATTTATTAATTTTAAAAAATTACTTAGCGGATAAATATGTCATCATATGTGCACTGTTGTCAAGTAAAATATCTAGATCCACAAATTAGCAAGCCTCTGTATATGGAATCATTCGATCTCAAGTTCAGTCTCAATCT